TGTATAATTATTGCCACTATGCACTTCCAAAACTTCCATCATCCCAAACAGACACTCTGTGCCTATTAAACAATCATTTTTTGCTAATAGTTTATTGAGGATTTTAGCATCAATATTGGTAACAGATGTTGGTCTATAGTTTTCCTGGAGTGACTTTGTATGGCTTTGGTATGAGAGTAATGTTGGCTTCAAAGAATGATTAAGGAGGTATTCCCTCCTCTTCAGTATTTGGGAAGAGTTTGAGAAGGATTGGTGTTACTTCTTTTAATGTTTGCTAAAATTTACCAGGGAATCCATTTGCTTCTGGGCTTTTCCTTGTTGTGAGGTGTTCGGTGATGATTCAGTCTCCTTACTAGTTACAGGTCTGTTCAGATTTTCTGTTTTTTCATGAGTCACTTTTCATAGAGTGGGTATTTTCCGGAATTTGGATATTAACATTTTTGAAGAGTGAAGACCAGGTGTTTTGCCGAATGGCCCTCAGTTTGCATGTCTGGTTTTCCACATGGCTAGATTCAGATGAAATATTCTAGATAAGATTACTGTTTGCTGATATTGCATCATCCTTAGCTTGTCCAATCAGGAGCCTTATTCCTTTTTTAATCTTAAGCCTTCTGTAGAAGACCATTTTCTTCCTTTGTGATGTATAGCCTCTAAATGTTCCTTTCTTTAGTGAGACTGTTATGGGAGTAAATTCCTTCGATTTTTGTTTGTCTGAAAATGTCTCAAATATTTGTCTATTTTTTAAAGAGTATTCCTAGGAACACAAATCTAGGTTAACAGTTAAAGGGCTATCTGCTGTACATGTTCAGTATCTTCAAGATTCCTTTGTTGACATTGAGTAGCTTATCCTGTGTATAATTATTGTTCCTTTGTGTATCTGTTAGTTTCTGATTGCTGCTGTAACAAATTACCATAAATGCAGTGGCTTAAAACAATACAATTTATGATGTTATAGTTGCAGAGGTTAGAAGTCTGAAATGGATATGACTGGACTAGAATTAAGATGCTGTCAGGGCTGCCTTCCTTTCTGATGTCTCTGGAGTAGAACCTCTTTTCTTTCCTTTTCCGGCTTCTACAGGTGCTCTCATTCTTTGGTTCCTGGCCCCTTTCCATATGTAAAGCCAACTATGACTGGTCGTGTCCTCCTTATATCCCATCACTGACACTTTTGCCTCCCTCTTCCACGTTTAAGGACCCTGTGCTTACATTGGGCCCACCTGAATAATGCAGGATACCCCTGTGTAAAGTCAGCTAATTAGCAACCTTAGTTCCATTTGCTACATTAATTCCTCTTTGCCATGTAATATACAACATTCAAAGGTTTCAGGGACTAGGACATGGACATCTTTTAGAGTCCTTATTCTACCTACCATAGTAGGTAATCTAAGTTATGTCCTCTGGCTGCTGTTAAGATCTTTATATTTTGTGCCCTGGCTGGTGTGACTCAGTTGGCTGGAGCACCATCCTGTGACCAAAGGGTTGCAGATTCAATTTTCAGTTGGGGCACATACCTGGGTTGTGGATTCCATCCCTGGTTGAGGCATGTACATAGGGCAACTGATGGGTGCTTCTCTCTCTCATCAATGTTTTCCTCTCTCCCTTCCTCTCTCTAAAGGCAATTAAAAAAAAAAAAAAGGAAGGAGGAAGAAAGAAAGAAAACATCCTTGGGTGAGGGTTAAAAAGAAAGATAATCTCTATATTTTGTGGGTTTCTTTGGTGTGTTTAGGTGTGTATTTCTTTTTAACTTTTTTTAACATACACAAGAAAATTACACATATGTGTACAATTAGAAGAATTGCCAACAAATTGAACACATCTGTGTTACCAGCACCCAGAACAAGAAATAGAACTCCCCAAACCTACCCCCAGCCCCCTTCCCCTGCCCAGGGGCAACCATCATCCTGGCTTCTAACAGCATGGATTAATTTTGCCAATTTTGCCAATATTTTATAAAAAGGAATCACTCAATGTGTATTCTTGTGTCTGGCTTTCTTGGTTCAACATATGTCTGTGAAATTCATCCATATTGTTGCTTGTTGTACCTATCATTCATGCATTTGCATTGCTATGGACAGTCTGTTGTATAAATTAACCGCAGTATATTCATTCATTTGTTGATGGGTATTTGAGTAGTTTTTAGTGTTTGGCTATCACAAATAGAACTGCTAAAAATTTCTTGTACATTTCTTTTTGAGTATTTATGTTGGGATGTACCTGAAAATGGAATTGTTGGGCCTTAGGGCATAGGTGTGGTTTCCTTTTAACTTATCTTACTGAAACTATTGTGCCTATCGAATGTATTGATTTGTGCCTTAGAAAAACTTTCAGCCATTAAACTATTGCCTCTCGTCTCACTTATCCTCTTGAATTAAATCTTTCCATTTTTCTTACATTTCTTAACATTATTTTTATATCTTCCATCCTGTTTTCTCTGTCACATTCTGGGTTTTTCTTTCTTTTTTTTTCATATCTCTGTGTTTCAGGTCAGTAATTCTTTCTTCAATTGTGTCTAATCTGTAATTTAACCCATTTGGTGTGTATTTTGACATTGACTTTTTTCCATTTCCAACAATTCTGTGACATTGCATCTTTCTTATTTCCAAAAACTGTTTGGTCCTGCTGAATATTTTTGATAACTTATTATTGAATGTTCATTTTTTTATTCAAATACATTTATCTCCATTTTCCCCCCTCAACCCTTCCCACTTTGCCTTTTTCCATGGGTCCTTGATACATGTTCCTTGATTTGACCCTTCCCCTTCTTTTCCCTGTTATCCTTCTCTCCCCTCCCTTCTCGTTATTGTCAGTTTATTTTTGCTTTCAATGTTGCTGGTTCTATTTTTCTCGCTTGTTCGTTTTGTTGATTAGGGTCCACTTATAGCTGAGATCATGTGGCTTTTTTCTTTCACCATCTGACTTATTTTGCTTAGCATAATGCTCTCTAGTACCATCCGTGCTGTCGCAAAGGGTGGTAGCTCTTTATTTCTGCTGAGTAGTATTCTATTGTGTAACTGTACCATAGTTTTTTGATCCACTCATTTATTGATGGGCACTTAGGTTGCTTCCAGCACTTGGCTATTGTAAATTGTGCTGCTATGAACATTTCTATCTTTTATTTATATTGTACAAACATTCCATGATATTTATCTTTAGTTTGTGCCTGATAATTCCCGTATCTGAGGTTTCTATGGAATCTAATTCTGTTGCTTTTGTTTCTGCTGACTCTTGTAGGTAGCTTTTTTTCCATGTATGTTGTTGTAATCTTTGATTATGGACTAATGTTTACATGACACTAATCTCTGGAAATCCTGGGAGATATAGTAGAGGATGCTTTCTGCAGAAAGGATGTATACTGCTTTTGCCAACAATTGGGAGCCTACTACTCTGGGACTACTTATCTTCCTTCCAGGGTACTGGTTTAGTGCAGGCATCCATGATGTAGTTTCTCTATGCTGCTGATATAAGCATTAGTCTCAGGGTAACACCGTCTTTGTACTGCTTAATTATCACAGCTTTGGTTTCACCTTCCAGGCTTTTGTTTTGTTTGGGGCCTTTGGAGGTATCAATTACCTTCAGTGAGAAAAATCACACATTGTACAATCATCTTCACATGAGCTCTAGGTGTTTGGTGAGTGTGTGGGAGATGAGGTGGGACAACCATCAGCTTATCAGGTCCAGGATGCTGTAAGTACCATATTTTGTCGTGTATAATGAGAACTTTTTTTGCCCACATTTTTTAGGGAAAAATAAAGATGCACATTATGCATGGTATAATGAATATGTAATACTGTGTATAATGAGCGCCAAAACATGGATGCAAATTATATACAGAAAGGAGCACATTACACACGGCGAAATATGGTAGATCCCATTCTTCCCTCCCACACACACATACCTTCCTTGTTTTCCATCCTGGAGCCAGAGTGACAGTCTCAAAACACAGATCACATTTGTGTTATTCCCCTGCTTGAAAACCTTTGCTGCTTTTAAAATTTCAATGACGTCTGTTTCTTTTTCTCTTTGGTTCCTCATGAGATAAAAGGAAGTAATATGTATGCTTATAAAAGAAGTACTTACTATAACTATAATTCACAAACACAATGAGATCCTGTGGCTTTTGAGTATTTTTAGAATAAAACATTACGAGCATATGTCAGATAAAGACCTATTGGGGGTAATAAATGTCAGCCAGGTGAAAATGTATTAAGAGTCAATTCTCTGGGCAGCAAGTATGGAGTTTAGCAGCCTTATTTGTGATGTTTGTTGGTAAACTGCTCATCTGTCATCAATGGTGTAACCTAAACAGAGACTCTTTAAGATTCATCAGAAAGCACAGGTGTCTCCAGGCACAACTGGCTCTTGTAGTAGCTGTGCATACTTGCTTTGTCCCTGGAGGAATCCAACTGATACCAGGTTTCTTTCCATATATTGATGTGGACATTTTCCTAAGTTTCTCCTCCTAGTACTATGACCTCTGAGTGTAGGGTAGAGGGTAGGGGACTCTCCTTAAAGAGGAAAAGGTGTGCATGTGTTTCAGTCTTCTGATTCTTTGTGTTTCTTAGCTCTGTGCTAGAGTTCACTGGTGGAAGGGCGAATATTCTTTGCAATAACCTGAGGACTCTCACCTAACATTGTGCATTAGTACCAAACACAGTCACATTTCAGTGAGAGTTTATAAGATGCAGGAACAGGTCATCTATAATCACAAGGTAAATGAAACCAAAGTACTGAATACATTAATGAATTGTTCATTGTGTGACCATTTTGAAAGCTAAGAAAGCTGTTTTCTGTAACTTATCTGTAGGGAGATGCAAACCATAGCATGTTAACACTGGAGAGAGAAAAAGGAAAGGTATGCTCTATGCCATCATTTAGGGAAGGGGCATTGTAAACTGCAGGAATTCCATGACTTCCAGATTGAAGACCAGAGTCATGTGGACTGCACATGGTATCTGGGGCCCGGAGTTTCCCTTCTTTTTCTTTTTCTATTTTTCATGCAGAATTGAGTTGGATTGGCTTTCTGAAGAAAACACAGTGTTGAAAAATGAGCTGGGGAGGTTCCAACAAGAGCTCGAATTTACGCAAAGGACAAATGATGCACAGAGGTAAGGGCCCTCTCTCTGTGATTCCAGTCAGAACTTACAGTGTGTGACACATTTTACTCCTTATAGAATGACCTCAGAAGATATTGCTGTAAAAAGAGGGACGTGTTCACAGATCATCCCCGCATTCCAGAAAACTCTTAAGTGGGTGAGCTGTGCTGACCTTTGACTACCCTTGTACATGCAAGAAAGGGCTTTCCTGAGTGCCTGGTCTCAAAAGTTTGAGGTAGAAAGCACATGTGTATTGCAGCACAGTCATCACCACAGTGAGCAGCTCCAGAACAGGCCTTTTTATATCTGAAGTCAATATACACACACTTCTTACCCCCACGGAAATACTAAGGGATCAGGGAGACAGCAAGTATTTTTGTAGGTAGTGGTGCTCCTGAGGCCTTACTGGGCAAGTAAAATCTGTTCACTCATACCCTGATAATAGTGTCAGCTGTGCTTTTCTCCAAGATTTGTTTCTGGCTCATCAATTTTAGTGAGTCAGAGTCAGGGATGGAGGGGTAGGAATGGGGAAGGGTTGCAAAGACCTGAGCACTGAGGCAGGAGAGACTATTGGGAGGACACAGAACACCTGTTGGTGAATTTCTGCTTTTACTACTATAGCCCTGTTTCATCCAATGACAGTTGCTTGATGCTTTTTTTTCCAACTCTGAAATTGAAGATGAGCTCAACTCTAAAATGCTGAGAATGCGGTGCTGATTTTATAAAATTGCGGTGATAATTGATTAAAATATGGAATCCAGAGAAGCTACCCAGCAAGTAATTGCTATCACATTACAGCAATTCTGAAATCTAAAAGTTTTTTTCATTCTAGAGACCATTTTTCCCCTAAGTTTTCTGCTATCACTCCTTTGACAACAGACCTTAGTGGATATAAGGCTGTTTTGGCCTTCATTCATGCTGCTGGTAGTGAATAGTCACAAGTTGTGCTCAAGAGATATTAATGGGTGGAATTGAGGAATGTTATGGAGCATGTTTGTTCTGTAATACTGGCAGTGGCCTCTGGTTTTGAGGATTGGGATCCACATTAGATCAGCAATAGCAGAAGCAGCAGAATAGTAAGAGTGGTGGCTGTAGGGTCCCAGGAGTAGGTGTGAGTGTGATGTGGCAACAAATCCAAGGAACTGCAGTTACAATGGGTGATAACTGGGGGAAAAAAAAACTGGCTAGTCAAAGTGATATTGTTAATTTTGCTTCTTCAACAGGAAGGAAATTGAGGTTTTAAAGAGAGACAAGGAAAAGGCCTGCTCCAAATTGGAAGAGCTCAACACACAGGTCAAGTATTGGCACCTGGCATGACGCTAATACCACCCTCCTTTTGTTTCATTATTTTGAAACAATTTCAAACTTACGAAAAAGAAATGGAGAACTTTTTTCTGAAAGATTTAAGAGTGAAGTGCTGACTGTCAAAATCAGGAAATGAATGTGGGGTAGAATCCCTGCCTTAGTCTCCTACCTGTTCAGCTTTGCCAGTGGTCCCACTTGTTCAGAATCATTTAGTCTCCTTCAGTCAGTCCATCCTTGGTTTTTAGGACCTTGGCACTTTTGAAGATAACAAGCAGTTATTTTGTAAGAAGTTGTAAGTTTAGTTTGTCTGATGTTTCCTTGTGATTAGATTTAGATGATACATCTTTCGCAGGAATATAAAAAAATGATACTGTGTTCTTCTCATTTCATCTTATTAGGGGTACAGTGATTTGTCCCATTACTAGTGATTCTTGGTTAGATAGTGTTGGCCTGGCTCCTCTGCAGTAAAGTTACTTTTCCCTGTGTGATTAATGAGCATTTTATGGGTGGATACTTTGATATTATGTATATATTCCGTTCTTTGTGAAACTGTTACCCACTCACTATCTTTTGTTTCTTGGTGGAATCGGTTATTACTATGATGGTGCACAGTTGGTGACTAATCCCACCATTCCTTTTGTATTTACTAATTGGTACTTCAGTGTAAGGAAGAGCTTTCTCTTTTCTCCATTAATTTATTCATTTACATCATTATATTCCTATCATAGATTCCTGTTTTATTCATTAGGCCATATGTTATTGATGGCTTGTAGACAGCTGTGTTCGCCCTATATCCTCGGATGGTCTTCCCTGGTTCCTGTCTGTTTCCTAATCTCTTCTTATTAGGACACTATCATATTGGATTAGGGCCCACTCATATGGCCTCAGTTTACCTTAGTCACCTCTTTAAAGACCCTATCTCTAAGTGCAGTTACATCCTGCCCTGACTGGTGCGGCTTAGTTGGTTGGGCATCATTCTGAAAAGCAAAAGGTTGCTAGTTCAATTCCTGGTCAGGGCATATGCCTGGGTTGTGGGTTAGTTTTCCAGTTAGTGCATGTATGGAAGGCAACCGATTGATGTTCTTTCACATTGATGTTTCTCTCCCTCTTTTTCTCTCTCCCTTCCCCTCTCTCTAAAAATAAATAAAAATTTGAGTAAATACAGTTACATTCTGAGGTATTTGGGGTTTGAGCTTCAACGTATGAACTTTGGTAGGACACTAATCAGCCTATTACAAATATCACAACCAAACTATTTTTTTAAATATATTTTTTTGTTCAGATACATTTGTCTCCGCCTTCCCACCACCACTTTCCCCCACAACCAAACTATTGACATTGATACAATCCATGGATCTTATTCAAATTGCACCAATTTTATTTGGATACTAGTGTGTGTGTGTGTGTGTGTGTGTGTGTGTGTGTGTGTCTGTGTGTGTGTGTGTGTGTTAAGTTCTACACAATTTTATCCCCTCTGTCTACTCATATATCCACCACCACAGTTAAGATGCTGAATAATTTCAACTCCACAAGGATATTTCATATTGTTCTTTTATAACTAGACCCATGTCCTTCCTGTCCACTTACTACCCCAGCCCCTAACCCTGGACAACCACTAATTTTTCCTTCACTTTTAAAATTATGTGATTTCAAATGTTATATTAAAGGAATCATACAGAATGTAAGGCTGATTTTCTCACATATCATAACACTGGAGATCCAACCAAGTGGCAGAATTAGCTTCTTTTTATTGCTGGATGGTATTCCAAGGTATTGATGCTGTACAGTTTAATACTCATCTTTTAAAGGATAGCTGGGCTGATTCCAGTTTTGTGCTATCACAAATGATGCCGCTATGTACATTCCTGTGCAGGTTTTTGTATGAACATACGTTTTTATTTGACTGAGATAAGTGCCCAAGAGTACAGTTGCTGAGTTATGTGTGGTAGTTACATGTTAAGTTTTATGAGAAACTGCCAAACTGTTATCCAGAGTGGCTGTAACAGTTTACTACATTTCTACCAGCAATGCTTTCTTCATCCAGTTTCTCCATATCCTTGCCAGCATGTGATGTTGTTACTATTTTATTTTGGCCACTCTGATAGGTGTGTTCTGGGACAGAAAACCTAGAGGGGCTGGAGCTGAGTATCTCCCCTCTTACATTGGTTCCACTCTGGTAGAGTAGTTTCCTCTGAGGGCAAGAGAAAAACAGAGTGCTGTGAGTATACTCAAAATGGTCACTGCATTGGTGTATTCAGGTTGCCATAACAAAGTACCACAGACTGGGTGGCTTAAACAACAGAGATTTATTGTCTGACAGTTCTGGAAGATAGAAGTCCAAGATCAGGATGCTGGCTGATTTGATTCCTGGTGAAAACTGTCTTCCTGGCTTGTGGACATCTCCCTTCCCACTGTGTCTGCACATGGCCTTTCCTCAATGCATGCACACAGAGGAAGAGAGACTGTGCTCTTCCTTTTCTTCCCATAAGGTCACAATTCTATCCAATTAGGACCCCATCCTTTGAGCTCATATAACCTTAATTACCTAAAAGCCCTATGTCTAAATACTATAACATTGGGAGTTAGGTCTTCACTATGTGAATTTGGAGGGCATAATTCAGTTCATAGCAGTTACTTTATTGTCCTCTTGCTAGAAGCATGGGGTAGTTTCCTCTGATCTTAACTGCAAGAACCAGATAAGGCTTAGGAAAGTTGGGGACTCCCTGAGACTGGCCTCCTATGACTTTTTAACTCTCAAGCCAGTTCAGGCACAGCTCCCAGCACTCATCCTCACAATGCCAGTTTCCTGTTCCGTTTCAGGCTCCAGTCATCTGCCCCTGGTAAAATGTAATTCTCTTTACCTGTATCTCTAGTTTTCAGGGCATTGACTTGCCCTGTGACCTCATTTCTCTGATGGATCTAAGAATTATTAGTTTTCAGTTTAGTTAGCTTTTTGCTTGTTAGGAGCCAGACCAGAAACCAGAAATAGTACTATTTTTTTAATTTTGGTTTCTGCATGTTCACTCTTAGGACATAGATGTACAATGGATTTTTATCTGTTGATTTTGCATCCTGCCACCTTGCTGAGCTTACCTGTTGTTCTAGGAGTGTTTTCATTACCTTTGGCTTCTTAAATCACTGCTCCATCTCTGAGATAAGTCCCCAGTAGCTCTTCTCTCCTGGTTTGCCTCTTCCCATGAATGGCTAATGAGAGGTTTCTGCCATGGGGACCGCCTCAGACCAGTCATGTATGGGTGGCTTGTCTTGGCTCCGAGGTTTGGGTGTTCGTTTCCGTAAGTGTATGGTAGCCTTGCTTGGGCCTTCTCCATCAGGAGAATAATTCAGGGATTGATTTAAAATGAAAACTTCAGACTCTGCATTTGCCTGAGGACCAGGTTTATGTAAATGACCTATCTGGGGATTTCCTGGGCTCAGAGAGCTGCCTGACCCCTTCACCATTCCAGCTTATCTATAGGACACATTTGTAAATGCATTATAGGTATCCATTTGTTTTCTTTCCCTCAACTTTTGTTATGAAAAACTGTAAATACACAGAAAAGTTGAAATGATATACACTGATCAGCCACATACCATAACCTTAATTTAACAGTTAACAACTATCATGTGTGCTTTAGTTATTTGTTTATATCTGTCTTTTTATTTCCGTATGTGTGTATTTTCTGAATGATTTGAGAGTTACAGATATATTAATATTCTCCTAAATATTTCAGCCGGTGTCTTCTAAAAATAAGTGCATTTTCTACCTAACCACAATTCTCCTATCACACTTAAGAAATTTAATCATGATTACTTATTATCCAATACTCAGACCATATCCACATTTCTCCAGTTATTCATAAATGTCTTACATAGTGAACTTCTTAGATCTAGGATCCAGTTGAAGTTGACACACAACACTGAACTGTTAATGCTATTAGAAATTACTGGCATAAAACAGCCTCTTTACTGTGCTATCAAACCTTTGGGTCAAGGATTCAGACTGAGCACAGAGCGGACAGCCTGTCTAGGCTCCGTGATATCAGGGTCTTGGCTGGAAAGGCTTGACAGCCGAGTTGACTGAGATGGCTAGGGCTGGAATCATCTGGGAGATCCTCTCCTTGAAGCAGGGCTTCTAGAGGGTGTTTCGTGGTGATGGGGGTCTGGGGGTTATCAGAAAGCAAGTGTTTCAGGAGGACAAGGTGGAAGGTGCAAGGCCTCTGACCCCACCTTGAAAATTACTCTATATCTCTACCACCAAGACCCTACAGAGCCACAGAGAGGATCATAGACTTGCCTTGGTAGGGGAGAGTTAGGTCACAGTGTGGAGGGGATATGGAATTGGAAAAACTGTTAAAGAGGTTTTTTCAAAAATATGGTTGGCCATGATGGGCCTTTAGTCTTTTTTTTTTTTTTTTTTTAAGATTTTATTTTTAGAGAGGGAAAGAGGAACAGGAGGGGAGAAACATCAGTGTGCAAGAGTTACATTGATTGGTTGCCTCTCACATGCTCCCAATTTGGAACCTGGCCAGCAACCCAGGTATGTGCCCTGACTGGGAATCAAACTGGCAACCCTTTGGTTTGCAGGCCAGCTCTCAGTCCATTAAGCCACACCAGCCAGGGCCAGTTTTTTTAATCTAAAACACCTGTTTCTCCCCAATGATGCTGAAATTTTAAAGAGACATGTCAGTTGTCTTGTTTTGTGCATCTGTATTGTAGCTCTGTCCGGCTGTTTTCTAATAGCATTGTTCAATCTGGTCCTCTGTCCCTTGTTTTTCTTAAAAACTGCAAAATATCCATGTGCTCAGGAGATGGCTGTTAACATCTCCTTTTGTCCTCTTCACTGTAACACAGATGAACTCAAGTTAAAATTAAAGAGGCGATTAACACAAATACCAAGAGGCAGCTGGCCTCCCACACCTCCCAACGTGGTGCCCTGAGCAGGATACAGCAGTACCTGAACAGTCTTCTGGTCAGAACACATTGCCTGA